CATATGGTAAGTATGTTTTTAATAATTAAATAGATTGAATTTTTCAACTGACCACATTATTTAAAGAGCAGTGGAATCATTAAAATGAAGTTAGTGATAGCCACACTCATTTTTAGTTTCATTTAAAATTTCTTCAGTTAAATGTTATAGTCAGGATACTCACTGACTGCATGTGAAAGTGTGACTTGCTGTTTCTGTCACTAGGGGGTGTTTTTGGATAATATTACCAGCCCTGTAGTTATTTTAAAGGCCTCTCAGCAATATAGGTATGAATTTTTTTTTTAGAAACATGAAATCACAGAGTTTTATAAGAGCTAGGTTGCTTTTGTTTTGTCCTGATTTTACAATCTATATGTTGGTTCTCAGAAACCTAGTCTAGCTAGCTCATTTTGGGCACCACGGTGCTTATAATTGATAGAAATATTTGCTATTTGCCTCAGTATTTTGTTATCAATTATAGATCTCTAACATATTACTCATGCACATTACCAAATACTGTCCAGTCTATTACTTTAATATTTCATTTCAGTTGTACAGCAGTTATAATCTCCTTTAACTTAAGACTGTTTTCAGCCATCTAGCCTAACAACATGACATGTGAGAGTGACATCTACTTAAACAGGAGTTGAATAAATTGCCTAGACTAAATAATGCTAACATGCACAAAGCTAAAACTTTATAAACATTTTAAATATCCTTTATGTGGCCTTCATTGTGTGAAGTCTTAAAAATCAAGAGAAATAATATGTGATGAAGTTTTCGCCCTGAAGTTGACATATTCAGTAATTTATTTGAAGAAGCTGATATGTAAGCAATTACAACTTAGGACAAAAGAGGATTTAATAGAACTTTATTATAAAATTACCAACAAAATGATGCAGAAGGTTGAAAATGGAGCTTCTTATCACAGGTTAAACAGCGGGCTATTCCTCATTTTCTATTTTTTTTCCCTGTCCCAATGCTCAGGTGGACACCTGGGGTGTATGACAGCTGCATTACCTTTTGGAGAGAAAGGCTAGTGGCCATGGGAATGATGTGTGTGTAGTGGGTCCGCTCCAGCTGTAAAATGTGGGCAACTTGCATTGCCCAGATGGCCAAGAAAAAGCGATGTCGTGTGAAAGTTACTGTCACTTCCCTCCATTTAGTGTTATCTTACATAACTCTCCACTTTTACTTTCTTTTATTCTCTTTGTCCAAGCACCTCAGCTTCTATACAATTTTGAATTTGCAGCAATTAGGCTGGGAATAGGAGGAGGGTGCTGGTAGTTCTGAGTACACTCAACAGTTGATTTGATTAATCAGATTAACAACCTTAAATTATAAAACTGAAAACTGCCATGGGGCATGATGATGAAAGACTTTATCTATTCACAGTGGAAATATAAATTGATAATACTTTTTATAAGGTAACTAAATTTAATTTAAAAGCCTTTAAAATATTCATGTCTCGTAACCTAATAATTTTATTTATAAAATTAATTCTTGGAGGAATAATCTGAAGTGTGGAAAAATATTTATGCAAAATATTTAACAGTACTATTACTGGTTTCATACATTCTTGGTAATATGGTATTAAAGGTTATATATTCAGTAAAAAAGGGATCAAATAGTAGGGCAACATTAAAAATCTTTTTTTAATTTTAATTGTTTAAGTACAGTTTTCTGTCTTTTACTCCCACCCCAGCCCACCCCCCAGTGCTCCCCATTCTCTCCCATTTCCACCCCCTTAGTTTTTGTCTGTGTGTCCTTTATACTTGTTCCTATAAACCCCTTTTTCCCCTGAAATTCCCTCCCCTCTCCCCTCTGGTCACCGTCCCCCTGTTCTCTGTTTCAGTGTCTTTGGTTATATTTTGCTTGTTTGTTTGTTTTGTTGTTTCGGTTCCTGTTAAAGGTGAGATCGTATGGTATTTGTCTTTCAACACCTGGCCTATTTCACTCAGCATAATGCTTTCCATTTCCATCCAAGTTGTTGCAAAGGGTAGGAGTTCCTTTCTTTCTGCTGCATAGAATTCTATTGTGTATATCTACCATAATTTTTTGATCCATTCATTTACTGATCGGCACCTAGGTTGCTTCCAGCTCTTGGCTATTATAAATTGTGCTGCTATGAACATTGGGGTGCATAGGTTCTTTTGGATTGGTGTTTCAGGGTTCTTATTATATAATCCCAGCAGTGGAACTGCTGGGTCAAAAGGCAGATCCATTTTTATTTTTCTGAGAAAATTCCATACTGTTTTCCATAATGGTTGTACCAATCTGCAATCCCACCAACAGTGAACTAGGGTCCCCTTTTCCACACAACCTCTCCAACATTTGTTGTTTGTTTCTTTGTTTATGATGGCCATTCTGACTGGTGTAAAGTGGTATCTCATTGTGGTTTTAGTTTGCATCTCTCTGATAGCCAGTGATATTGAGCATCTTTTCATGTTTCCCCGGATCTTCTGTATGTCCTCCTTGGAGAAATGTCTGTTCAAGTCCTTTGCCCACTTTTTAATTGGGTTGCTTGTCTTCTTAGAGTGGAGTCGTATAAGTTCTTTGTATATTTTGGAGATTAAACCCTTGTCTGAGGTATCATTGGCAAATATGTTTTCCCATACAGTTGGTTCTCTTTTCATTTTGATGCTGTTTTCTTTAGCCATACAGAAACTTTTAATTTTGATGAGATCCCATTTGTGTATTCTTTCCTTTATATTCCTTGCTTTAGGGGACATATCGGTAAAAATGTTGCTGCGTGAAATATCTGAGATTTTCTTGCTGATGTTCTCCTCTAGGACTTTAATGGTGTCACGGCTTATATTTAAGTCTTTTGTCCACCTTGAATTTATTTTGGTGTATGGTGTAAGTTGCTTGAATTTCATTTTTTTGCACGTAGCTGTCCAATTCTCCCAACACCATTTGTTGAAGAGGCTATCTTTACTCCATTTGATGTTACTGCCTTCTTTGTCAAATATTAATTGACTGTAGAGAGTTGGGTTGATTTCTGGGCTCTCTGTTCTGTTCCGTGGGTCTATGTGCCTGTTTTTATGCCAGTACCAGGCTGTTTTGATTACAGTGGCCTTGTAATACAGTTTGATATCAGCTATTGTGATCCCTCCTTTGCTCTTCTTTCTCAAAATTGCAGCTGCTATTTGGGGTTGTTTATGGTTCTATATAAATTTTTGAAATGTTTGTTCTATGTCTGTGAAATATGCCATTGGTACTTTAATAGGTATTGCATTGAATCTGTAAATTGCTTTGGGTAATAACATTAAGAATCTTAACTTAAAAAATGCTGTTAAGTCACTAGTCATTAGGGAAGTGCAGTTTTAAACTGTGAGGCAATATCACCTCATGCCTCTTAGAATGGCCATCATCAAAAAGACAAGAGGTAACGAATGCTGGCTAGGATATGGGGAAAAGGGAACATGTGTGCTCTGTTGCTGGGAAGGTAATTTGGCTCAGCCACTATAGAGGAGCCTTAAAAAATTAAAAACAACTACCATATGATGCAGAAATTCTACTTTTGGAAATATGTCCAAAGGAAACAGAAACAGCAACTGCAGAAGGTAACTGCACCCCTATTATAGTAGAATTATTCACAATAGCCAAAGCAGGGGAGAAATCTAAGTGTCTACTGATGAATAGATGAAGTCATGAGATTATATATATATATATATATATATATATATATATATATATATATATATATATTCAGAAGGTTTCCAGCCATGTAATATAAAAAACAGAGACATTTATTGAAAAGATAAGATACAAGAGACGTTGTACATAGGACCATGACACCTCAGTCCCCTTTGAAGTAGGCAACTTGGCCTTTACATAGTTCTCCAAATCTCTTCCCTTTCAAAGGTGATTTTAGTTTGGGGAAAAGCCAAGGAGTCACAGGGCACCAAATCTGGCCTGTAGGAGGGCTGAGTCACCCTCAGATGTTTCTGAAGACTTGATGTTTTGGCTAAAAACTCTGCATGAGATGGGATGCATGAGCAGGTGCATTGTTGTGATGAAGCTGCCAATCACCAGTCACCCACAGCTGCATCCTTCTGAATCATCTGAATAGTGTCCACGGAGAATTGTTCAAGCTTAATGCAAAATTTGATGCAGATTTATAGCTCTATTCTCTCAGTCATATTGAATGCAATGGCCACACAGTACACATGCTCACTCAACAGCATCTACCACCCCCACTACTTAGTACAGTGAAGTCATCATTGTCCACACACACACATTCCAGTCCACCCTCCTTGGCTGCCAGATTACATCAATGTCACTCAAACTGTTTCCATTATATTAACAATGGTTAGTATATAGATGGACAGTATATAGATGTATGTGTATATATATATACATATATTATATATGATAAATATATATCATATTTATATAAAATTCAGCCATAAAAATGAGGAAATTCTACCATTTGTGACAACATGGATAGACTTTGAATGAATGCATTATGTTAGGTAAAATAAGTTAGACAGAGAAAGACAAATACCATATGATCTCATATGTAGAAACTAAAAATAGAAGCTCATAGAAAAAGAGATCACACTGGTTGTTAGACATAGAGGGTAGGGGCAGGGGGTAACTGGAGGCATGTCAAAAGGTACAAGCTTTTGTTATGAGGTAACTAAGTACTAGGACTATAATGTACAAGATGATGAATATAGCTAACATATCTAGCTGTATGCTATATAAGAGAGTTGTTCAGAGTAAATCCTGTAAGTTCTCATCATAAGGAGAAGATATTTTTCCTTTTTTATTATATGAGAAGATGGATATTAGCTAAACCTAATGTGTTAATCATTTCACAACATATGTATAACAAAACATCATGAGATATACCTTAAATGTACACAATGATGTGTGTCAATTATTTCCCAATAAAACTGAGAAAAAAAATCCTGTTGCAATTAAGTGAATCTGACAGTGTTAATACATAGGTCATTTATTATCATAGAAGAAATGTTATCCAAAGTAAACTATTTGCTTGTAATACTGTATGAAAATAGTTTAATATACAGATATACTATCAAAATTAAATATATACATTCCATTAATTAAAAGGCAAACATATATTATTCTCTTAAAAATATACTTCCCAAATTGAAAGCTCATTTAGACATGTTTTATTACACATAAATGACAGAAGAAACTCAGTACTATGGTTTAGCATCCTTAGAACAGATGACTTCCTACTTTGTGAAATTATTCTTTAGTTTTCATTTTAAAACATTTGCTATGCCATTTATTACAGGCACTGTGCAATACATTCATGTTTAATTACATGTCTTAATACCTTTCTTAAGCATCTTGTACTCTTTTATGTTGTTACTTTAAGTAATATAAATGACCTGTTTGCATGGGCATTATCCATAGCTCACTGTTAACTCTGAAACATTTTCAGCACAGATGACAACAATTTCCACACTTACTGCAGTATACTGATGCGGTGGAGGCCATAAAATATTTTAGTAATAAAGCAATGTTCATTTTTAATTCTTGTAACCTTTATATACATCACAGATTTTAATTTCTTTTCAACTTTTTAATAGGTCTAAATAATTAATATTGCAGCTAATACCTTACATGAATCATCTTACAAACATCAGCACAAAATTAACACCAGCCGATCTGTGTCCACATACACATGAAATATTTTATTGATTGCAGCATTCAGTTTCCATTGTTTAAGTCCATCTTGAAGTACCACAGTGTGTATTTCTCAACTGCTCTAACCCATTCTTACCAGGATGCATTCAGTAACTTCTAGAAGGCATTCTTCTCCAAAAAAATTGCATGAGCAGATCAGTTCTTGAAGGACGCAACTAAAGTTCACACATTTTTATATTGTCACACCATACTTTTCAATGTTCTTTAGGGCCTCTCAAAATTTTATTCCAACAAGTTTTTATCTTTTCTAGTAGTATCTTTAGGAAACACATTTCATCCTGTCTTTTCTGTTCCCTTAAAGATTTTTTCTCTTCCTACAGAAATGCATAAAAAAAAAGTTTTAAGTTCACATTTTTATAAATATACACATTTCCAACTATGCATTTCTTTAATTCTCATCATCATAGGTTCTACTGAAAATTTGGTGTCATGGAAAAGGAGAATCTTGCATGATATTTTTAAGCTATGATTGCTAACTCTAGTTGTGGTTGTTGTGGTTTAAGATCTAGAATTCATTAAAGAGCTGTGTTGGGCAGCTGTAACAGTGAGACAAGAATGTTGTTTCAACTTTTGTGACAACAATATTTGTAAATTACTCAAAAAAGTTTTGTAATATGGAAAAATGTATTTTTGGCGGGAAGGAATAGTTAACACTGAAAATATGCAGAGTGTTTTGGCAAAGATGATTAATTAGGATCTACCTGATGGAGTTTGTGCCCTGAGGTCCACCCCAACAGTGTGGTCTTCACTAGAGTATGGAGGACACCTGCCTCATTTCCTGATGAAAATCTTAAAAAGTGTTACCTATACAACCTACAGAAAATGGAAAAAAGGGACCTCACATTGAAGAGACATACAGGGGAGTAGTGTTGCCTATATTCAGTTATACTCCTGAAAGCCCCCCAAAAGTGGGACTGGTACATGGCAGAGGAATTCTTCACTGAGAAAGGATCCAATTATTGGGTGTTTTCTAGGTCAGTATTATGCTCAGTGCTTCACATATATTATTTCATTTTATCTATTCCTCTAAGGTATTGCTGATTGCGCCCCCCCCCATAGATGAGAAAACTGAGCTGCAGAGAGGATAAATAAGCTGCCACGGTCACATGTGAAGTATGATGACTGGGTCTTGAGCTCAGCTATTCTATTTTAAGTCATAGGTTCATATCTCTTTTAGGTATTTACTTACTAACAGATTAACTTTTGGCCTTTAAATAATCCATTCGAAAGATTAGCACAAATATCAAAGGTAAACAACAGATATCAAAGGTAAATATGAAGAAGAATTTCTATAGACTTCTTAATGAGGGTTCTAGGACATATTTTAAAAATATAAATTGAGATTTATGCGACTAAGCAGATTTAAATGCATAGATGTGAAAATTTCATGACTTTTCCTCAGAGATCAAGATGGAACATTCATTAAAAAAACAAAAACAAAGAACCATGATTTTATTTCCGTAATCCTAAGAAGACAGATATTAACTCCCTTTTTTTAAAAGATTTTATTTTTATTTATATTTTAGAGAAAGAGGAAGGGAAGGAGAGAAACATCAATGTTTGGTTGCCTCTTGTGTGCTCCTAAGTGGAGACTTGGCCTGCAACCCAGGCATGTGCCCTGACTGGGAATCGAACCAGCGACACTTTGATTCACAGCCCATGCTCGATCCACTGAGCTACGCCAGCCAGGGCTTAACTCCCTTTTTTGTCTTTCCAAATTTTATTTCTATTTTTATTCTCATGCCCTTTATTTCTTTTCTTTTCTTTTTTATTAAGTTTATTGGTGTGACACTGGTTAATAGGATCATATAGGTTTCACGTGAACATTTACTTCTATGACACAGGATCCGCACATTGCATTTTGTGCCCACCACCCAAATGTTCTTAGAAGCCATCATTGTATTTACATTGCTCGTGTGTTCATCTCAACTCTGCCACTTTAGGTGGAATTCCTAGGTTTCCTGAGTCCCAGGGTGAGCAAGCTCCTCCTGCTTCTCTAAGAGGAGTAAGGAATTTTCATGTTCCCATGTATCTATTGGTCAAATGACAATAATAACAATGAAAATATAAAGGAAAAACCCATCGCTCTTATGAACCAGGGGTGTTTATTTTTACATGTCCTTTCCTAGTTGATATTTATATCATTAATGTTTAATCATATTTATTATGAGTTTTTCATTCAAAAATATTTTATATTGCTATATAATATACAATATTTACTAGTATAAATACTTAATATAGAGTATTCACACATATATGCTGAATACTCTATACTGATAAAATAGGTATAAAATGGGCTATTCATTTTTAATTTGTATTTCTTTATTAACAAAGAAGGCTGGCTCCTCTCTTCTCATGCTTATTTTCTGGTTTATATTCTTCTAGATGGTTTGCTTGTGTCTTTTGCCTATTAATTAGTCATGTCTCAATGTTGTTGCTTTTTAAAAAATGAATGCTTTGATATATCCCCTAGCTTCTCCTATTTTAAAATAGTGAGTTTTTTTTTTAAAGAAAAAGTTTAAAGGACTCCAATTTCTAAGAAGTAGCTTTTTATGTCTTTTATTAACATTATAATGAATACTTTCAAACCAACCATCAAAGGGAAAATTCAAAGAGAAACTGAAGAAATTAAGGTAAGTAAAAAGCTAATGAAAAAAGAAGTTATACAATTATTCTCACCAAATTCTTAGTGGGCTGGGCTTCACCCAGGGTAGGTTGTTTTTTTTCTTTATCCTTAAAAACAAAATGACATTTACAACATTTAATATTAATTTTGATCACTTCTCCTATTAATGTAATTGCTAATTTTCATGTATTACTCTCAACCCATTTAATCTTTTTGAGGGTCTACTTTAAATTATTTATTGTTAGTATGGCAGAATACTAATTTCATTTAGAAATAGAATACAAGCATACCTTGTTTTCTTTTGTTTCATTTTATTGTGCTTCACAAACATTGCTTTATTTTACAAATTGAAGATTTGTGACAACCCTGCACTGAGCAAGTCTATTGGTGCCATTTTTCCAATGTTAGTTAGCTTCGTGTCTCTGTGTCACAATTTGGTAATTCTCTCAATATTTAAAACTTTGCCATTATTATTATATTTGTTACAATGATCTGTGATCAGTGATCTTTCATGTTACTATTGCAGTTGTTTTGGGGTGCTGCAAAGTGCACCCATATAAGATGGTGAACTTAACTGATACATGTTGTGTGTGTTCTCACTGCTCCAGACCAGCCGTTCCTCTGTCTCACTCCCTTTCCTTGGGCCTCTCCCGATTTCCTGTGACACAATAATACTAATTTAGGCCAAAACCCAACAGTGGCCTCTGAGTGTTCAGGTAAAAGGAGGAGTTGCACTTCTCTCACTTTAGGTCAAAAGGTACAAATGAGTAAGCTTAGTGAGGAAGGCATGTTGAAGCAAAGATGGACTGAAAGCTAGGCCTCTTGCACCAAAGTTAACCATGTTGTGAAAGCAAAGGAAACATCCTTAAGGAAATTAAAAGTGCTACTCCAGGGAACATATGCATGATAAGAAAGCAAAACAGCCTTATTGCTGATATGAAGCAAGTTTTTGTGGCTTGAATAGAAAGTCAAATAAGATACAAAATTTCCTTAAGCTAAAGTCTAATCATGAGCAAGGCCCTAACTCTTCAATTCTATGAAACCTGAGAGAAGTGAGGAGGCAGCAGAAGGGAAATTGGAAGCTAGGAGAGTTTGGTTCATAAGGTTTAAAGAAAGAAGTCCTCTCCTTAACACAGAAGTGCAAAGTGAAGCAGCAAGTGCTGATGTAGAAGCTGTAACAAGTAATCCAGAAGAACTAGCTCAGATAATGAAGGTACCTAAACTGAAAAACATATTTTTGATGTAGATACAACATATTTATATTGGAAGATGCCATCTAGAACTTTCATCACTAGAGAGAAGTCAATACCTGGCTTCAGAGCTTCAAAGGACAGGCTGATTTTCTTATTATGGGCTATGTATCTGGGAACTTTAAGTTGAAGCCAGTACTCAATTTCCATTCTGAAAACCCCAGGTTCTTTAAGAATTATGCTAAATCTCTCTGCCTGTCTCTATAAATGGACAAAAAAGCTTCGATCATAGCACATCTGTTTATAACATGGTTTGCTGAATATATTAGGCCCATTGTTAAGACTTACTGCTCAGAAAAAGAAAAAGATTTCTTTTGAAATATTACTGCTCATTGACAATGTACCTGGTCACTCATGAGCTCTGATGGAGCTGGACAGCAAGATTAATTTGTTTTCATACCTGTTAACACAACATGCACTCTGCAGTCCATAGAACAAGGAGGAATTTCAACTTGCGAGTCTTATTTTTTTAAGAAATACATGTCAAAATGTTCATAGATAGTGATTCCTTTGATGGATCTAGGCAAAATCAATTGAAAACCTGGAAGAGATTCATCATTCCAGAGGCCAGTAAAAACATTTGTTATTCATGGGAACAGGTCAAAATATCAACTCCTATCAATAGGGTTTGGAAGAGGTTGATTCCAACCCTCATGGATGACTTTGAAGGGTTCAAGATTTCAGTGGACAAATTAACTGCAGATATGGTAGAAGTGGCAAGAGAACTGAAATCTGAAGGAGATACTGAAATTGTGACTGAGGTGCTGCAATCTTACAATAAAACTTTAATGGGTGAGGAGTTGCTTCCTGTGGATAAGTAGTCATGAAATCTACCCCTGGTGAAGATGCTGAAATGTCAACAAACGATTTATAATATTGCACAAACTCAGTTAATAAAGCAAGTTTCGAAAAGATTGATTCCAATTTTGAAAAGTTTACAGTGGGTAAATGCTATCAAACAATATCACACGCAACAGAGGAATCATTCATAAAAGGAAGAGTCAGTCGATGTGGCAGACATCATTGCCTTATTTTAAGAAATTGCCACAGACTTCAGTAACCACCTTTGATCAGTCAGGAGTCATCAACATGGAGACAGGACCCCACCAGCAAAAAACATTATGACTCACTGAAGACTCAGATGATAATTAGCATTTTTTAATCATAAAGTTTTTTGAAATTAAGGTATGTACATTTTTAGGCAAAATGCCATTGCACACTTAATAGTCTAGAGTATAGTGTAAACAGAACTTTCATATACACTAGAAAAAAACAAAAATAATTGAGTGACTTGCTTTATTGTGGCAGTCTGGAACCAAATCTACACTATCTCTGAGGTCTGCCTACATGAGAGAAAAGGAAGAAGCAAGAGAAGTTAGTCTTCTGAATACCCTGGATCCACAAGTTTACAGGTATGCCCAGCACTGTGTTAATGGCTGTGAGGTATGAAAAACTAACACTGAAGGGTGTAGTAACAGAGACAAAACTAGAATTTTAATCAACATGACAACAAAGTAATCATTAAATTGTTAAATCCTGACCATAAATTTTATTATGCTTTACCCATCAGAAGCAAAATGAAATAAACAATAGGAAATGCTTATAACAGGCCTGACTCACAAAGAAATTCAATGTAGCTGACTATCTTTAATATCTCACTTTGTTATTTTAAGAAAAAATGGTCTATATTTTAGGTTAGTTTTGTAACATAATTTTATTTGCTTTCGAAAATAAATTATTTGTGTTTTCATTCCTGATAGTTAGTTGATTTTTGGACACAGTGATCCATGCAAAGCTAAACACATGAGAGAAGGAACTGTAAATATATAACATACTCATAACCCTTACCCCTTTCTTGGTCAAGAGGTATAATAAGTTTGTTCTGCAGTTTTTCAGTTAAGCCCTGACTTGAGGCTACACTCAACTCAGTGTTTCCAACAGTCACTACCAACCAATTGGATGTGTAAGCAACAAAGAATCTATTGGCCATTCCTGCATTAAAAAGTAGTTTGAAATCACTATGAGTAAGGATTAAGAGCTGGTAGGCTAGACTATGAAGACTTCATGAATCTTGAGCTTGGCTTCGACAGATGGAGAGATCAGGACAGATCAGATTTATAGAAAGCAGCAGAAACAACACATAAGGGATTAACATAATGGGAACAAAATGGGAAATAACCTTGGCAAATCCAGGACACCAAAAGGAGATTGACTGGTGTCAGGTAGGGAATGCATGGTAAATGAATGGTTCAACCTAAATCATCTTTATCATCAGTGTCAGTAAGGCTCAAAAACAGTCTCACCATTTTACCCTCTGTGAGCAACCGTTAGCATTAAAAAATAATATACAATCTTTTTTCTATCATAATTCTTTTTAAATTTCTAAAAAACGATCATAAGAAATCTTTTGGCTTTGTGTGTCAGCTGGTAAAATTCTTGAAGAAGGTGGGTAATAGTAATAATAAAACATTTATTGAAATCATCAACAGTAAGCACTTTGCATGAAATACTAAACATTTATGCCATTTAAGCCTTTAATATCCTATAACGTGGATACTATATTCTTCCTCCATTTTATAGATGAAGAAGCTGTTGTCTAGTCTCAAGATAATGTCTTCCAAATTTTGTTTAGTTGCCTAACAACCACTATTGAGAAAGTGGAAAAAAATAGCTATCTACTTATCAAAATTATTAAAGCAAAGAAAGAGGAAATTGCTGGGTATATATATATATATATATATATATATATATATATATATACACACGTATATGTGTGTATACACACACACATATATGTGTGTATATATATATATCCTATATTAGCATAGAAATGTATTCGTTAAATACATTTATTACCAATTCTATTGACTATGTTTTTATAAATTTATGTATCTATGGATTAAAATTATTAATATATTTTAAAGATAAAAATTTACCTTTCCCCACCTAACTCATCCAACTAGCCTTCTTGAAAGTTATTATAGCAGTGAAGCATGCATTTTATTCCCCTTTTAAAATCCACTGACTTGGCCCCAGCCAAGAGATAAATAGGTACTTTCCAAGTTGAGATTGTCCTCTGCCAGAGTTGAGTAAATGTATATCAACCTTAAGTTATAATAAGCACTTAGTATTTCATGAAAATGGATCACCAAGAGAACAATAATATCCTACCATGGGAATAGTTTGTAATTTTTGTTCAAAGTAAACAGTCCTCAGCTTACCTTCCTGGTGCAGTTCAACAGTTTTAATGTGCCCTGTGAAACTACTGATAAGTGGTGCTTGAAATCCTCAGGGATATTCATTTTAACAAATTGCTTCAACTTGCGAGCAGCAGTTTTTAAAAACGTAGCTTCCTATTACAGAAAAAAACCAGAAGGGCTGTGATTCAAATAAAATATTAAGAAATGATAAGCATTCTTAAGGATCCTAAAGCCAGAACCCTATTTCTAAATAATGCCCTACCTCCACCCAGATTTCTTTTCCAGTTAATCACATGATTGACACGTAACTAGACTGAAACTGCTAAGCTTCCAGGTACAGCCTGAAGGGCCTAGAACTTGGTTTAATGATTAGCTGGCTTTTTAAACCCTCTTTCTGTGTTATACATGTGTGATCTTATCACTTGTGGGTGAACACATAACAAATTTAATTTTAAGCAATGAAAAGGGAGGTCTTCTGGAAAAGACAATAATGAAAGGTATGTGTGGCTTTTCTTACTGTTATGTTTTCATCTTTTAGCTATGGATGAAGAGCTGGTAACAGGAAAATAAAGGGTCATATTAATCTAAAACAAGTTTTTCAGACATTTAATGTAACTATGAAAAATTTAAAAAATAATTTATAGATATAAACTATTAGATGTCATGAAGTTAACTCAGCTATTATGAGTTTTTTAAAAAGACTATTTAATACTACATTGGCTTTTGTTGAAAAAATCACACCAATATTTGTTAAAAGTTTTGTAGATTCTATCATTATACCAAGTACAAGTGGTAGTGATGTGAAGATTATAAAATAGTGAAAAATTTTTCTAAATGCCTACAACTAAATTATGCCCGTAATTTATATTCATGTGTGTAATCACTCTAACAAGCTTTTTACTGAATAAAGATTTCAGATTAAGCAGATATGTGTCTTTGAATTCAGCAATTCTTCTAGCATTTTATAAATGAACATGAAATGATTGAATAAATAAATATAAAACCAGCACAGAAGACTATGGTATAACTTAATAGATCAGTAGGAATTATCTGGTTAGAACCAAAGAAATCTGTTATTAATATAATCAATATAATTATCTAACAGAGGTACAAAAATATATAAGCTTTTATGAAGTCAAGTTTGAATGACATATAAACTACAAATAATTGTCATTACCTTATCATCATCACATGAATGCCTTTTAAAAAAGTTAGGTTCATTATTCAGGCAATTACTAGCATTTTCTCTTATATGTTCCTGTAATAAATAATATAAAGTTAAATAATTAAACTGGGGACTTTTATAATAAGTAGTAACTGTAAAAATAACAATGAACTTGGTAGTTATATGTACATTTTAAGGAAAATAACTTTAGCTTGGCTTAGCTGACAAGGCATGTAGAATGGTTTTCTGAAGTTAAAGAATAGTCAAGTACATACACAGAGCCTCACAGACTTAGAGCTCCCTCCAGACTCCACATTTAATCCCAGCAATCATTGAAAGAACCTAACTCATTTAGGAAAATAAAAGTACCTATTGTAGAAGTTATACTATATACAGAAAATACTATAAATTTTGAGGCCTTGGAGTTGAAATGTACTTGAGGTTATTTGGTCCAATTTTCTGTCAGTATCAAACAGTAACAAAGGGCACTTTACACTAGAATGAAGGGAAAACCTCTTGAGAGTGAGAGTAAAGTAGAAAGTCATTCTGCAGCATTTTTTAGCAACCCGGTTTGTCTGGAATGTGTGCATATTGTAAGGCAGGAGTGGGAAAGCGGACTGGTACATTCTCATACTTCATTTCTAAGGAATGTAGTATTTGAAGGTGGGGACTCCCTGAATCAAAAACTTCAGTGGACATATTAGGAAGACTTTCCTGAGGATTCAGATTCTCTGATGCACAAGGTTGGACTAGGTCAGTCTGGCAAACATGCAGTCAGAGCTTCCAGAGCTGCAAGCAGTCTTAGTCAGTATGTTGTCACCAAAAAATAGGATAAGAAGTGGAGTAGTGAGGACAGTCATGGGCTTTTAATCTTCCTTCCTCTGACTCTCAGAAAATGCATTACTCTTACCATCAAAAGCATAGATGGTCTCTGGGTTCATCCTGATCCTAAATGAATATACTATGTGTTTTTCTTGCAGGAATTAGTTCTGAACACATTCACTTAAACTTTCACCACTTACTATAGGCCAATGTGCAAGATCCTCTACCAAACCCCATAGGAAAACAAAGATAAGAAAACACTATCCCAGTTTCTTGTGCCTTTTGATATAAAGGGTAGTGGATGATATATGCATTAGACATTTTTATATCACTTTTTATTTTTGGAAAAGTATATTTTTAAAAACAGATTTGTTGGTGGAAACCACCCCAGCCATACTGCAGATGTCTGTAGCACAAACACATATATTCTTTTTTTAAAGGTTTTATTTGTTTATTTTGAAAGACCTGGGAAAGAAGGGAGAAAGAGAGGGAGAGAAATATCAATGTGTGGTTGCCTCTCATGCACCCCTTACTGGTGACCTGACTCGAAACCCAGGCATGTGCCCTGACTGGGAATTGAACCACACCCCTTTGGTTCGCAGGCCCCACGCTCAATCCACTGAGCTACACCAGCCAGGGAAACACATATATTCTTTGTAACTATCCCCAGGTTGCCCTTATATACATTCCTGAAAAGGTAGTGGAGAAGTACTATTTGCCTATTATCTTCTTATTGACTTCCACTTAACCCGAAACAGGAGAATATATCACACATATATTTCTCTTTGATAAAACATATGTTCACTTTTTTTGCTATGCCATCCTTCTTTCAAAAATAGACAAATGAGCAGCAAATCTCATATATCCTCCAATTTACCAAAAATATTATATGAAAATACGTCACAGAATTAATATACATTTCTTAGGGCATTTTAACAAACTGAATGACTCATGAATATTTGAAAAGCCATACTGGTTAAACCACTACTCCTGGTATTTAATAAAACTCATTTTAGCCAGATACAGAAAGGTAATGTTATACCACCTGATTCATTTGCCAAGTGTTTGCTACAGTATATGAAGATAAGTGGTGGGGGGGAAATGGAGACAATTGTACTTAAACAACAATAAAAAAAGATATTATTATTCACTTGAAAGATTGACGTCTATAGAAGTCATAATTAGAATTGACTAGTTGACTTTAGTACATTTTATGAATAAAGTAAATATCAGTGTACAACTGTACTGTTACATTTGTTTTCTGAAATTGTTTCCATTTGAGCCCTATAAGAAGGATGATGCAGACTAAGATTTACAGAATCCTGGAGTTAGAAAGAAGCTGCTACAAGGTCTGGTGCAAATAATGCACCTTTTTTAAATTACAAAATCATAGGCATGTAATTCATATGTTATGTAATAACATAACAATATTACACTCAAGCACACCATATGACATTTTAGGTAAAATGTTCAAATTAAAACTATAAATTATTACACTGTATTATGACCCTACCAACCACACTCAAGCAGGCCTTATTTCTGCCAGATTCAGTATGTCTCTCTTTTGATCTAACCAATAGCAGAATTGCTTTGCCAATAATAGTTTCTTATAGGCATCTTAACATATTTGAAGATTTCTTCATATCTATTATGAATGTGAAAAATCAGAAAAGCCAAGATCACTCTGACTCTGAACTGCAATATTTTCCACTGTAAAATATTGCTTTATATCAGCTGTTCATAAAATACATGTCCTTTCACTTTTTAGAAGTACGTCTTTTCTCATTTCAACAATTTTATTATATCTTTGAATTTTTTCTATTGTAACAGTCTCTTCTTCAGAAACACTAATTATGTATACAATAGATTATTTATTTCACTTTTCTTTTTATATGTGTCTTGTGTTTTGTTTTATTTTTTTTGTGTGTGTGTGTATGTGTGTGAGGTTTTATGCCTGTTCTAATAGGGCACTCATTTCTGGTTTTTATTTTACCACTATTACCACCCACCCCCAAATCTAGATAACTCACTTTAATTTTTTTCTATATTTCATCTGATTAATGCTATTTTAGCTCTTTGTGATTTGATTTCTTAGTGTTAAGAAGAAAATTATTGACATTTTCTACTGCTTTCATAAATAATTAATCTGTGGTCTGAATTCTTTATTTCCCTTGTGTATTCATTTGATTATTTGTGTGTTCATTCATTTGTTCATTTGTTTTGCTAGTATCAGTATATAGTGTTTCTTTCTGGATTTTACGGTTATTTTTGAAGGGATAATAGATTAGATTATTGTTCAGCCACATGAACATATTCAGAAGTTCTCTTAATTGGTCTCCATTTAACCAACTTGCTGAACCGATCAATTCTCACTATTCCTTCTATAAAAATATATTGACTAATTGCCATAGCACATTGAACATGCTCAACTACAGTCCAGTATCTTTTTTTGTATATTTTATTAATTAAGCTATTATAGTTGTCCCATTTTCCCCCTTTTTCCCCCTCTGCCCTGCACCACCCTCCCTCCAGCACTCCCCCTACCCCTTATATGTCCATGGGTTGTACGTGTAAGTTCCTTGGCCTCTCCATTTCCTTAACCACCCCCCGTCTATTTTGTGCCCACCAACTATGCTTCTTATTCACTGTACCTTTCCCCCCTAGTCTCCCTCCTTCCCCTCCCTGCTGATAACCCTCCATGTGAGCTCCATTTCTGTGATTCTGTTCCTATTCTAGTTGTTTGCTTAGTTTTTGTTTTTTTAGGTTCACTTGTTCATAGTTGTGAGTTTGTTGGCATTTTATTGTTCATAGTTTTGATCTTCTTTTTCTTAGATAAGTCCCTTTAATATTTCATATAAGGGCTTGGTGATGATGAACTCCTTTAACTTTACCTCATCTGGGAAGCACTTTATCAACCCTTCCATTCCAAATGATAGCTTTGCTGGATAGAGTAATCTAGTGTATAAGCCCTTGCTTTTCATGACTTCGAATAGCTCTTTCCAGTCCATTCTTGCCTGTAAGGTTTCTTTTGAGAAATTAATAAATCAGGAAGTTGATAGTCGTATGGGAACTCCTTTGTAGGTAACTTTCTCTTTTCTTCTTGCTGCTTTTAAGAGTCTCTCCTTTAATCTTGGGTAATTTATATGTCTGGGTATGTTTCTCCTTGGATCTGACTTTTTTGGGACTCTCTGAGCTTCCTGGAGTTTCTAGTTTATTTTCCAGATTGGGAAAGTTTTCTTTCATGTTTTTTCAAATAAGTTTTCAACTTCTTGCCTTTCCTTTTTTTCTTCTGACACCCCTATGATTTGGATGTTGGGACATTTAAATTTGTCCCAAAGGATCTTAAGCCTCTCTGCATTTTTTTGAATTCTTATTTCTTCCTTCTATTCTGGTTGAATGTTTATTTATTCCTTGTATTCCAAATCTTTGATGTGAGTCCTAGATTCCTTCCTTTCACTGTTGGTTTCCTGTACATTTTTTTATTTCACTTTTCATAGCCTTCACTTCTTCTTCTACTATTAACTGAACTCAATCATTTTTGAGAGCATCCTGATTACCAGCGTTTTGAACTCTGCATCATGTAGGTTGGCTATCTCCTCATTGCTGAATTATTTTTCTGGAGTTTTGATCTGTTTCTAATATACTCATATATTTTCATGCTCATGATTTGAGTTGCATATTTACTAAGTCAATTCCATTACATGAAGTTATACTTATTTATAAAATAAGTATTATTCATATATCAGTTAATAATTCTATATAAACCCAAGAATTATTAGTATGAGGCTAGAGTTGTTTGGGGGACTTCTGGTTTCCAGTTTGATAGTCAAGGAGCTTAGGAGTCACCATTTCATTATAACAAGTAAAAAAGTTGAGTAAACTTAAGAATCAGGAATTTTCTTATACCCATAAGAGGATTACAGTCACAGGGCAAACTGCTACCCAAAATATTGGAGAGACAGACAAGTGGCTATGATAATCACAATTTACAGGAGCTGGAACCTCTATGGGAAGCAGTGCTGGGGCACAGAGACCCAACATGTGATCGATGAATTGTTGGAGGCTCAGAGTGCACAGGTCTGAGAAGTAGAAACTCTTAAGAAAACCCTATCATTGTGGGTGAGAAGCACACTTTTCCAAGTCTTACCTACAGGTGTTCTATACATTTGTCACAGTGAATATCTCAAAAAAATCCCTTTGTTCTTCTGGCAGAGAAAGGAGAAAGGAATCATTCTGTATATGCCAGAGCCTTATGTTCTTCACAATGCCCA